TATATAATTTTATAAAGAATAAATTATTTGTCTTCTAAAAAGATATAACAGTGAAATATAATATATATAAGAATGCACACAATTTTTTCAAGAAAATTGATCCTTTTTCACTCAATATAAAACCCCACCAATAGTAACCATATTAAAAGTTTCTCAGTCCAACTCCAATAGGAAGGAAATAGAAGGAACAACAGGAGTGAGAGATTTACCCATTCAAAGGTGTTCTGAATACTAAGAGAACAAGTACAGTAAATAAAAGAAAAGCCTGACCAGAGCAAAGAGAAGAATCCCTTCCTAAGGGATTCTACACAGACAGGAGTTTGGGACGCACATTTTTCCTTCAGGGCTTTTCACCATTTGCCCAAAATGTAATTAAACAAGTGAAATGGACAATTTATATACACTGACCTTGTTTCTAGTACTGTTAGATCAATTACAAATTGTTGACTGTAAAAATCACTCTAAAGTATGTTTCTATTATAAGGTCTTTATAAGGGCCCACGCTTATAGTGCTCCCCCCAAGAAGTCTTACTATGTGATAAAATAATGGTGAAACAATAATACACTCATCACTACATTATTAAATATGGATTCATTTTGATTTGATTATGATATATTCTTTATATTTTCATACAACAGGATTTGCATCCAACAAAAGCAATCAAAGTTATGTCAACACAAAATCATGCACACAGGTGTTTATTGCACCTTTATTTACAACTTGGAACAACCAAGATATCCTAACCTAGATAAAGGAATCAACAAATAATGGTTCATCCAAAGAATGGAATATTATTCATCACTAAGAAGAAATGAGCTTCTAAGTTGTGAAAACACATGGAGAAAACAAATATATACTACTAAATGAAAAAGAAATCTCTGAAAAGACCACATACTTTGATTCCAACTCCATGACATTCTGGAAAAGGCAAAATTACGGAAACAGTAAAAGAATCAGTGGCTACGATGGGGTCTGGGAAAGAGATGAATTAGGCATGGAGGATTTGTAAGGCAGTGAAACTATTGTGTATGATATTACAATGACAAACATATATTGTGACACTTGGTCAAAATCCATATAATTTGCAACGCTAAGAGTGACTTCTGGATGGAAATAATGAGCCAAAGTGAGTTCATCAGTTGTGTAAGTACACTGCAATGGGAGAG